AATGTTAATGGCAGAGTGTAGGTGATAAACACAGAGGTGACATTAAAATCCTTTACATTTTGCTATACATTTGAAAATTTTTATAATAAAACATTTGGTAAAAATAACCAAAGCAACCGTGTCTTCTCATAGTTTAATATCTGACTTGTAAATTATATTTTGGGGACTAGTATAAATGCTATGGTCTTGATTTTGATATAGTTTTATTTAAGGAAGAGCTCAGGTAGGAAATTACACCAGAAGCATTTTAACCCGAAAGGTCTCCATCACTGGAAGTTAACTTAAAACAACCTGTCATAGATGTAGTAAAAAACAAAGTGTCCTTAAATCCTCTAAAAACTTCTGAAGGCTCCAAAATCCCATTCTGAGAGAAAGAAAGCAATGCTAAAAGTTCTCATTTGAGGGGAAGAGTTTACATTTCCCAAACTGAACAATTCTGTGTCACTAAGTTGGACAACAAATAAGATGATCCAGTCTGGAAGTTCACAAAAACAAGGCCCTGGCCAAGTAGCTCAGTTGTAGAGCATCAACTCAATATGCCAAGGTTGTGGGTTCAATCCCCAGTCAGGGCACATACAAAAATCAACAAATGAATGCACAAATAATAAGTGGAACAACAAATCATTGTTTCTCTCCTTTCTCCTCTCTCTAAAATCAATAAATAAAAAATAAAAATAAGAACGAGGTCCCATGACATCCCACAAAAAAATACCTTTTTCATGAAAGTGTCATCTTTATACAGGTAAATTTCACTCTCGATTCTGTAAAACAGCATCACAGGAAGTTGCCCTGTAAGCTGAGTCCCGCTCTGAGCCTCCCACGTTAAATACTTCTTCATTGTTTTATGGGGGAGAGACTCTGGATGAAGCAGCACAGGACAGTCCCATGTTTAATGATTACACCCAGAATAATGTGGACGACTGGACTTCAGAATTGGAGGAGGGGAGGGAATTCTATGAGTCACAGTCATTTCTAAACGTAAGGTAACCTGTGTGTATGAATTTTCTGGATGAATTTTAAAAGAGAACAATTTAGGCTGAACAAACTGTACAGTATTTAGGGTTACAATTCCAAAAACGTAAAAGTTTTACCTGAAGCCTACTAGGAAACTCTAAGCATTTTTATTTTTTTTATTGTTCAATTACAGTTGTCCTCATTTTAGCACAACCTCTTTTTAATAAAAGATTTTACTTACTTATTTTTAGAGAGAGGGGAAGAGAGAAAGAGATGGAGAAAAACATCAATGTGCAAGAGATACATTAATCAGTTGCCTCTCACACACCAACTGGGGACCTGGCTGAAAACCCCAAGCATGTACCCTGACGGGGAATCAAACCGGTGACCTTTCGGTTTGCAGGTCGTCACTCAATCCACTGAGCCACACCAACCAGGACTAGCACTAAGCATTTTTTTTTATTTTTTATTTTATTTTTTTTATAGAGTGGGGAAGGGAAGGAGAGAGGGAGAGAAACATCAATGTAAGGCTGTGTCTCACACATCCCCTAATGGGGGATCTGGCCCACAACCTGGGCATGTGCCCTGACTGGGAATCGAACCAGCAACCTTTTGGTTCGCAGGCCCACGCTCAATCCACTGAGCTACACCAGCCAGGGCACATTTTTTTAAAAATAAAATACATTTTCTGTCCTTTCTTAAACACCAAATTGCTTTTCTTTCCCTAAGTTAATTTTAAGACATATGGATAACCTTCCCCATCTCCTAGGTTGTAATAACTGATACATAACATACATTTTCACTGTACCTGATCAAGCGCAAAATAAACACAACTGAAATAACAACGTGACAAGTCTAAAGGCTGGAAACTGTTCATGACCAGAAATGTGAAAAATAAATGATAATGACAAACAATATTCCTGTCAACTTCCATTCTAGGAGAGAAAGAAAAACATGAACATCTATGCTATGAATTCATACTCAGTAAATTTGTTTGTGAATACAGCAGATGGAGAAGATGGGGAGGTGGGGGTCTTTGGAAAATAATTCTACAAGAGTTTTGAAATCTCATATCCTTTGCTTAATTCTTTTTAAGAAAAGATTTTATTTATTTTTTGGAGAGAGGGGAAGGGAAAGAAAAAGACAGAGAGAGACATCAATTAATTGGTTGCCTCTCAAATGCCCCCAACCAAGAACCTGGCTGGCAAGCCAGGCACATGCTCTGACCAGGTAGTATAACCAGAGACCTTTCTCTTTACAGAGACCAACTGAGACTCCACTGACTGAGCCACGCTGATCAGGGCTCCTTTGCTTAATTCTTAACCTAAGGTGATAGCAGCATAGTTACATGAGAACTATACAGAAAATTTGAAAGTTACTATGAATATTAACTGCTGTTTAACTTTGACACAGTTATTCTCTATTAAAAGTGGTTTGACAGATAGGTCTCTCCACCAAAATAGGATTAGGGATGTCTGTATTTCTGATTGCTTTTCAATTATAGTCACTAACAGCTTAAGAATTGTTGCCTTTGTACAAAAAGAAGCATGGAAGTATTTCTGGATATGACTTTTTTTTTTTAATGATAAGGCAGGGGTTTTTTTTGTTTTTTTTAAGATTTTATTTATTTACTTTTAGAGAGGGAAGGGAGGGGGGAGAGAGGGAGAGAGGGGGAGAGAGGGGGAGAGGAAGGGAGAGAGGGGGAGAGGAAGAGAGAGAGAGAGAGAGAGAGAGAGAGAGAGAGAGAGAGAGAGAGAGAGAGAGAGAGAAACATCAATGTGCGGCTGCTGGGGTTTATGGCCAGCAACCCAGGCATGTACCCTGGCTAGGAATCGAACCTGGGACACTTTGGTTCCCAGCCCGTGGATATGACTTTGAAGGGGGTAAGAACTGAATCAAGAACTAATTTGGCTGCACATTTTCCCTGCTGTATAGTAATCACGTCTGAGGAGGAGAAGCCCAACAAACAAAATGAGAACTGTGATTCTACTAAAAAGTAAATGTGGTGGCAAATAAAGAGTAGGGGGCAATCTGGTAAAACTGTGTGTTTAGGATTTATTTCAAAATAACCCAGTCTGGGGGAGAGGTACTACATGAAACAAGATTGACCCTGGCTGTAAGTCAAAGCTGAGTGACCAATACATGGGGATTCTCTATAGTACTCAGCTTTTGCACGATTTCCATAATAAAGTTTTTTTTAATTAGGTTACCTACTGCAATATTAAAACCTCATTTCCCAAACATTACAATTTTTTATTATGTCTTCTGTTGTTTGTATGGTTGTTTGCTTGGATTTTTTAAAGAGTCATCCAAACAAAGATTTTAAGCTAGAAATGATGGCAAGATCGTGTGTCAGAATTCTAACTAAATGTCAAAAACAGGGAGGCCACTTTGCATTGTGTTACTGAGATGGGACTATATCAAAAAAGTTTAAGAAAATTTACCTAAACTAATCCAAAGTACAGGAGACTCATTCAACAGAACACATACTTCTCAATCTTTCGTAAATTTGAACCTCCATGAGTTGCATTTTCCTAATGAAGGGTACACCAAACAACTAAGTACAGAATTACAAGAAACGCAGTATCCTTAAAGTTGCTGCTTTATAAATCCCACCTGTCACCAGGATGACTGAAACTGCTCCCTCAACAATCCAGCTGTATTTTTAGTTTTTACTTCAACAAGCAGCAATGTAATTTACACTGGGTAAGCACACCGATTCCTGAAAGCCCAAAATCAACCAAAAAAAGTCTAGTTTAACTGTCTTTCCATCCTCCATCACCCTCCAAACAATTAAAGCTACAAGCACAAGGGAAGAGTGACCTTAAAAACGTCCCCACCGCTAGAGAACAGGGGCAGAACAGACTGAAGCACACATCTTCACCGGAACAGAAGAAAACTTCCACATAAGCAATACTGCGACACGGAGGTGGGGCAAAGGCTTAAAAGGAAAGTCGGCCAACAAGGAGGAGGGAATAAAAGCACAGCTGCAGTGAAAAAAAAAAAAAAAAAGTTAGAAGTTAGAGATGTAGCGCAAGAAAGGACAGACATTTTCCAGCTTCGTACACCGCCCCCCCCTCCAGAGCCCGACAAACAGCAAGCGCTCCAAAACGGTTTGCTGAACGCAAGCAAAGCTTCTGCCAGTAACTTTCCCAGGAATGGACTGACAACAAGAAGCCGGATGACGGCAGGAAAAAGAGGGAGCTGGTGAAAATCTTGCGGTTGGCTCAGCAGAGATGGAAATAACAGCATCTTTTTACAGAATGCCTACTTACAGTGTCCCAATTAAACGTACACCCCTTTCAGATATTAACCACCCAAAACAATAAACCGGATCTGGAAGTGGGAACGCTGAACATTTCGGCCGCCAAGGGAACCCAACGGAGAGGTAGGTCAGCTTCTGTCCACTCTACCCACTAAGTTATAGCTTAATATCACGCTAATAAATTATGCAGACGGTTTAATGGGACACGCTGTGGGTCTGGCACTCTGATAAGCGCTTTGCACGCCCCAATTCACTGAACCTTAACAGCCTTAAGAGGCAGGGACGGCATTAGCCCGTTTTCCCAAACAAGACACAAAGAGTTTAAGTGACTTGCCCCAAGAGGCACAGCTGGTATTTGTACCCGCGTTGGACACCTGGGCAGTACACCTAAGTACTATACTACAGACACAGCCGGGGACCTTTAGGTGCCGCGGACCTCAAGAACTTGAAGCGGAGACCCTCTGCCCCCGCCACGGGAACAGCCTCGGCATCCAGCGCGCGAGCAGGAATGAGGAAAGGCTGCGTGGCACCTGTTTCTGGCCCCAACAAGGGGCGAAGGGACTGGAAGCGACCACCAGGGTCCAGGCCGCGGGGCGCCCCGACGCGGGGGGCGCGGGAGAACCCGCCTCCTCCCGGGAGGCCCCGCGGGCGGAGAGAAGGCCCGCTGAAGGAGGCCGGGTGCGCGGTCCCGCCGAGGCCTAGTCCCCCACTCACCGCCCACCGCCCCGCGGCCCCGGCGCCCGCCGCGCGGGCTCCGTCAGGCCCGGCCCGGCCGCCTCACCTGGCTGCTGCCCGGAGCTCGTCTCCTGACCGGCGGTCCTGGGCGGCGGCGGCGAGGAGAAGAAGGAAGGAAGGAAGAAGGAAAGAAGGAAGGGACGGCTGGAGGGAAGAGGCGGAGTGGCCGCGAAAGAGGCGGGCGCCGCCCGGCCCGGGGGTCAGAGGAAGGGGTAGGTGAACCAGACACCGCCGCCGCGGGCGCAAACGCTGAGGAGCCGCTCCGGCGCCCGCAGCACGGCAGGAAGTGACGGGGGAGGGGCTTGTGCCCGCCCCCAGCGCCCCCCCCGCCTCCCTGCTCAGCCCCACCCCCCTCCCTTGAGTCGGACCACAAGTTCCGGCCGGCGCTGCGGCGGCAAATATTCTCGCAAGGCGTGCCGGGAGCCTAGCGGGCTGGGGTCTGGTCTCGCTTGAGCCGCCTAGTCCCGCCCTGGGGCCTGCTGGGAGTTGTAGTTCAGCCGGGAGACGTGGGCCGCCCTGGGGAAGCGGGGCTGGGCTTGGCTTCTTTCCTCACCCCTGTTCGTTCTTCCGGTTGTCCTCTCCGTCCTTTTTCTTCCCCACTTCGGTTCCACCCTTTTCCCTTTTCCTCAATTCCTCTTTTCGTAGATGTTTATAGAGCTGAGAATGTGGTGTTAAAGAGACAGACAAAAGTCTCTGCCCTCATGGAGCTTCCATTTTAGTGGAGGGAAAACACAAAAATAAAATCAGTAACGTTTATAGTGAGTTAAAGAGGCAAGAAGTGCCAGATTACTATTTCTTTCACACAGCTCTAGGAAAATGAAGTGTATTTTAGCAGCCATTTTCTATGGTATGTTGGGGTTTGGGGATGGGGAGTCTTTGACCTCTAGAATCACACCCCGAAGAAGAACGCAGCTTTGTGAGAGGCCCAGGAAACTGATTGAAGGGACCGTAGATGTCCGGGCCTCCTCTCACTTCCCCACTTATTTATTTATTTATTTATTTATTTATTTATTTATTTTTAGAGAGAGCGGGGAAGGGAGGAAGAAAAAGAGGGAGAGAAACATGTGTGACCGGCTGCGTCTCGCACGCCCCCAACCGGGTACCTAGCCCACAACCCATACATGTGCCCTCGGGGAACCGAACCCGTGACCCTTCAGCTTGCTAGGGAACGCCCAACCCACTGAGCCACACCAGTCAGAGCTGCCGCCCTGCTATTGAGAAAGTTCATTTTCTCTCTTTCTCCCTCTCTCTCAATCCAACTGTTGCTCAATTTTTCTTTACAAGGCAATATAGTTTAATTTGTATAAATTCATGATATGAGGTGCGGTGACTGAGGGTGCCTCTCCAAACAATGCTTTGGGACCTTGTCTCAGCCACAGAGGGCTCTTTTCATTTCCGGAGCCTCCTTAATTTGCTTCTTGTAAACTCATTGCAACGGAATCCCAGGACACCTGTAACAGTCGAAGGACTGTCACTGTCCTTTAGCGCCCATCCAAGACAGTGGTAAACGACATTTAGACATCATCCCGCCTTCTGCTGAAGGCGAATTTCTTTTCTTTCTATAGCTGCCAAGCTGGCTGATTCCACAGCTCACCTGCGTGAAGGAACAAACACGCAGGTGTTTCCCTAAATCAAAGCCGGGGTGCCTGCACCATCATACTCTCTCTTCAAAGGTGTAAAGGTAGAAGGTGGTGTTCTGACCCATTTTACTGTCATCTGTGAGGACTTAGGTGACAAGCCTTTGACTTCCAGTCTTAGCTTTCTTCCGTTATTCCATACATTGAGGGGGAGAGCACTCTATTTATTTTTTTCGAGTCCACGCTTTGAATTTTATTCTATGACTTGGCCTTTCGGCACAGTTGGGCCTCTGTTTTTCCCTCAGTTAAACGTTAACAGTGATTTCCTATATTACCCAGAAATCATAAGAATTAGTAGAGCTTGATACCCTGTCTCATCTTCCCCACCTGAAAAATGATAGGACTCTCCTTAGCGTTGTGATGTCCCAAGTGTGATGCTCCGAGCAGCCCAGGCTACTGTCTGCTGCTGTTGGTGATTGATCACCTGTCATTCCAGGGTCAGGCACCCTCACAGCACTCTGTTCCCCTCCTGAGCCCCAACCACTGATCTTCTTCCGGTCTCCGTAGTTTCGCCTTTCCCAAGATGTCATACACGTAGTTGGAATGAGGCAGGATGGTCTTTTTAAGATTGGCTTCCTCCACTTAGTAATATGCATTTAGGCTTCCTCCGTGTCTTTTCATGGGTCTATAGCTCATTTCTTTTCCTATTTTTTTAAATTTATTTATTTTTAGAGAGAAAGAAGGGAGGGAGAAAGAGAGGGAGAGAAACATCAATGTATGGTTGCCTCTCACGTGCCCCCACTGGGGACCTAGCCCACGACCCAGGCATGTGCCCTGACTGGGAATCGAACCAGTGATCCTTTGGTTCGCAGCCTGCGCTCAATCCACTGAGCCATACCAGCCAAGGCTCTTTTCCTATTTTTAATAGACACATTAATTTTTAGATAAAAATCAATGTCTCACAGGGCTTTTATGAGATTTGCGTGTTCCCATTCCTTGTTACAAATACATATAATTTGTCTCCTGGGAAAGAATACACATGAATACACAAAGAATATAACTTACTTAATAGTCACGGTGTCTTACTTCTGTCTTCCCTAAAGAAAAATAAACACTTCTTTTATTATTTGGCAAGAGTCAAGAAGTCTTTATGCCCACGGAACAGAATATGACTGGCAGTCTCTATGTACAAATAGAGAAAGACAAATCTCAGTGATCCACTTCTGAGCCCCAGCCAGCCCCACAGCTGACCTATGCTTCTAAATACTATTCCTTAGTTATACAAAGTGAGAGTTCAGAGCCATCTTCAAAAATAAGGAGTATTCAATCTTCAGGTTGTTGTTTTTCTTTTCTCTCTTTTTCTTCTGTTTTTAGTTTTAATTAGTTGCTATCACTCTAACAGTTACCCAATAATCTGGGTTTGTGTCCTCTCTTTAAAAATGAGGCAGCCCTAGCCCTGGCTGGTGTGGCTCAGTGGATTGAGCGCGGGCTGGGAACCAAAGTGTCCCAGGTTCGATTCCCAGCCAGGGTACATGCCTGGGTTGCAGGCCATAACACCCAGCAACCACACATTGATGTTTCTCTCTTTCTATCTCCCTCCCTTCCCTCTCTAAACATGAATTTAAAAAAAAATCTTAAAAAAAAAATGAGGCAGCCCTTACTAATATGGCTCAGTGAGCTGGACATTGTCCCACAAATAAAAAGGTCACCTGTTTGATTCCTGGTCCCTGGTTGGGGGCATGTGAGGGGCAACCCATTGATGATTCTCTTGAGCATTGATGCCTCTCTCCCTCCTTTCCCCTCTCTCTAAAAATGAATAAATAAAATCTTTTTAAAAATAAATAAAAGTGAGGCAAATTTGGCTGCACAGAGCCTGTGCGTGGTAGTTGCTCCCTGAAGATGGACATTCTTTTCATTTCACCACAGTCCCCACCCTGCCCACATCTCTTGTTTACATTACTTTCTTGTTTGTGGACATGCAAGTTTGCAATGCCTGGTGTACTGTATAACTGTGTGGACCAAAAGCTGGTCTATGGACTTGAAAACTTGTCAGAAAGAGAACTTCCAAACGCAGGAAGAAAAGGTACATGGTATCATGGGGGCCTTTATTAACATTCTGAAGCATGTAGCTGTAGTGAAGATGTAAAGGCTATGAAGGTGGCCCTGGCTGGTGTAGCTCAGTGGATTGAGCGCCAGCCTGTAAACCAAAGGGTCCCCAGTTTGATTCCCAGTCAGGGCACATGCCTGGGTTACAGGCCAGGTCCCCAGTAGGGGGGCACGTGAGAGACAACCACACATTGACATTTCTCTCCCTCTCTTTCTCCTTCCCTTCCCCTTTCTATAAAAATAAATAAAATATTTTTTAAAATAAGAAAAGAAAAGATTTTGAGAGGGGCTTGGCAATGATGTCAGTGGTGACTATTATGAAGTTGTCTCCTATGGAGATAAGCAGAGAACTACCATCCTGTGCGGCCCTTAAATTCATTTATTCATTTAACCATCAGTTTTGAAACATTTACTGTATGCCAGGCACTGTACTAGGCAGAGGGACCGAAAGATGAATAACAAAGTGTCCCTGTGCTCAAAGGCCTGCCCAGCTGAAGAGGGAGGTTAGGAGGCAGAGGCATAACGTGGTGAGAGCAATGACAGAGGTTTACAGAATCCTGGGGCTACTTCAAGAAAGGGCATCTCATCCTTCCCCAGGTGGGGAGAGGATGGTGGTCAGAAAACCCTTTCTGAAAGAAGTAACATGTGAAGATCTACCTGGGAAGAATTCAAATCAGAGGAGACTGACATAAGAAGGCATTGTTCTGGCCTTAGGGAGAAGGGAATTTAGCTTCTCTCTACCTTTTCTGGTGAGGCAGAGATGGGCCATCCAACAAGGCCCCTTGACCTTCAGCCACAAACCAATCAAAACCCAAACCACATTGCCTTGGAGCAATTGCTGACTAGAAGTTCTGTTTTCAATTACTATAAATAAATAAATAAATAAATAAATAAATAAATAAATAAATTTTTTAAAAGGCTACGAAGGTGGCAACTGGGCACAAGCGGGAAGTGTTCTAAGTAACCCAAGCAGGGTGGAAAGCATGTGTAAACCTGCCCCCCAGCAGGACAGCATGTGGCCCAGAGTCCAGTTACTATTGCTACAAAACAATCACTCCCAAATTTAGTGGCTTAAAAGAACAGCAATCATTTTATTATCTCTCATAGATGGGGGTCAGGAAATCAGAAGGAGTTTGGCTAGGTTCTTCTAACTTGGGGTCTCCAGCGTAGGGCTGGACCCCTGGGGGATAGAGCCCCCTAGGCTCTGACTTGGGTGCCGTTGAGGCTGTCCCTGTGGTCTCTGCATGGGCTACTTTGAGCTTCCTCCCAGCATGACAGCCTCGGGGCCTTCCAGTTGTTACTCAGAATAGTTCAATGATAAGTAGCTGCGGGTGGAATGGCAGCTGAAGACTTCAAGAGTGAGTACCGCAAAGAGCAAGGCAGAGCCACATTGCATTGCCTTATGTGACACAGTCTTGGACGTCACACGGAGCCCCGTCCCCTGTGATTTATTGGCTGCAAATAAGACACAAGCCTGTCCAGATCCAAGGGCAGGGAAATTAGACTCTACTTCCTGATGGGGGATTGGAAATGGCAGATCTGGAGCTCAGGGGAAAGGCCCAGCTGGAGGCACGACATGTGAATATCGTTTGGGAGGTAATCAAAGCTTT